GGCTATCGATGATAAGCACACAGTCACATGACATGATAATTGAAGACATATGTCCCAACATCCTTAGGTGAAGACAATACCTCTTTTCTGTTCAGGACACACAAATAGCCCCTGTGTAAGTAAGCCTGAGGCTACTCTAAACAGATGCTTTCTTGTGTTCTTGCCTTAATTTAACTTCCTGTGTTTCATGGCTGGGGGATGGTTTCACACATTCTTCACTCTGCTTACTACTAGTTTTTAGATCCATACTAGACTAAACGTTACATTTATTAATATGATAATAACACAATAACATACTCCATTGACAATAAATATGAAAAATAATCACGGAACATTAAAAAGAGTGAAAATAAAATCCCTCAGTTTAACTGTTTTCACCTGGATTTGCACAATGTGCAAATTGTTCCAGATTTTAGCATCAATCTGAAACACTGTCTCCTCATGTTGATTCCTGTCTCTGCGACCAGCAGGAGGCCAGTCCCTGTGCTCCTCAGAGTCCCAGCAGGAGGCCAATCCCTGTGCTCCTCAGAGTCCCAGCAGGAGGCCAGTCCCTGTGCTCCTCAGAGTCCCAGCAGGAGGCCAATCCCTGTGCTCCTCAGAGTCCCAGCAGGAGGCCAGTCCCTGTGCTCCTCAGAGTCCCAGCAGGAGGCCGGTCCCTGTGCTCCTCAGAGTCCCAGCAGGAGGCCAGTCCCTGTGCTCCTCAGAGTCCCAGCAGGAGGCCGGTCCCTGTGCTCCTCAGAGTCCCAGCAGGAGGCCAGTCCCTGTGCTCCTCAGAGTCCCAGCAGGAGGCCAGTCCCTGTGCTCCTCAGAGTCCCAGCAGGAAACCAGTCCCTGTGCTCCTCAGAGTCCCAGCAGGAGACCAGTCCCTGTGCTCCTCAGAGTCCCAGCAGGAGACCAGTCCCTGTGCTCCTCAGAGTCCCAGCAGGAGGCCAATCCCTGTGCTCCTCAGAGTCCCAGCAGGAGGCCAATCCCTGTGCTCCTCAGAGTCCCAGCAGGAGGCCAGTCCCTGTGCTCCTCAGAGTCCCAGCAGGAGGCCAGTCCCTGTGCTCCTCAGAGTCCCAGCAGGAGACCAGTCCCTGTGCTCCCCAGAGTCCCAGCAGGAGACCAGTCCCTGTGCTCCTCAGAGTCCCAGCAGGAGACCAGTCCCTGTGCTCCTCAGAGTCCCAGCAGGAGACCAGTCCCTGTGCTCCTCAGAGTCACAGCAGGAGGCCAGTCCCTGTGCTCCTCAGAGTCCCAGCAGGAGGCTCGTCCCTGTGCTCCTCAGAGACAGTTCTGTTGTGATTAATGAGAATAGAGTGAATTTAAATGTTACAAATTTAGTTTAGTCTTTATTTGAAAAAACCCCTTTGTCTCTGTCAGAATGAGACGTAACCATGTCCTGTTCTGTGTGTGTGTGTGTGTGTGTCTGTGTGTGTGTGTGTGTGAGAGAGAGAGTGTCTGTGGGTGTGTGTGTGTGTGTGTGTGTGTGACAAAGTGTCTGTGGGTGTGTGTGTGTGTGTGTCTGTGTGTGTGTGAGAGTGTGGGTGTGTGTGTGTGTGTGAGAGAGAGTGTCTGTGTGTGTGTCAGTGTTTGTCTGTGTGTGTGTGTGTGTGTGTGTGTGTGTCAGTGTTTGTCTGTGTGTGTGTGTGTCAGTGTTTGTGTGTGTGTGTGTGTCTGTGTCTGTCAGTGTTTGTCTGTGTGTGTGTGTGTCAGTGTTTGTGTGTGTGTGTGTCAGTGTTTGTCTGTGTCTGTGTGTGTCAGTGTTTGTGTTTGTGTGTGTGTCTGAGTGTCTATGTGTGTCAGTGTTTGTGTGTGTCTGTGTGTGTGTGTGTCAGTGTTTGTGTGTGTCTGTGTGTGTGTGTGTGTTTGTGTGTGTCTGTGTGTGTGTTTGTGTGTGTGTCTGAGTGTCTATGTGTGTCAGTGTTTGTGTGTGTCTGTGTGTGTGTGTGTCAGTGTTTGTGTTTGTCTGTGTGTGTGTGTGTGTTTGTGTGTGTCTGTGTCTGTGTGAACGTGTTTCTGTAGACGTGTGTGTGCGCGCGTGCTTGGGCGCGCTGGGGCCGTGCATGAGAGTCTGACTCTGTGGAGTTTGGCCAAAAAAACAAAAATCAGCTCCGTCTTGTTTTTTGGTGAAACGTGTTGTTTTTGGCCTCGTGACTTTTTACTTTGATCTTTTCACTTTTTATAAACCAAAAGAAACTAAACTCCAACAAAAACACAGATCATTTTGTAACCATTTCTGTCTGTTGTGAACTCGCGTCTCTTCTGCTAAACTCTTAGAAACCCACACATTAATATTTATAACTTCACATTTACGGATTGTATTTATCTATATTCAGTCTATTTTACGTTTTCTGTCTGTTTTAATCCCAGTGTTTTTCTGCTGCTTTCCGTTAAAATGACAATAATAATTATGTGTTTCCGTTTATCTGTGTGAAAAGTAATAATTACAAATGATACAAATGAAAGAAAAACAAAACATCTGTGTGAAAAACTCTGTGCAGCACGTGCTCCTTCATCACGTAATGTGCCACACAAATAAATACGGATTGATATTTGGTTCAGCTTCAACTGACGTAAAGTTAGTAAAAAGTATATATTTAAATGACGTGCACGTGCGTTTCACTGCGGGACATTTGGACATTATTTTGGTTTCATTTTGACCATTATTAAACGTCTAAACTCATCATTTTGATAAAAGTCTGTGATTTTCTTCATGTTTTTCTCTAAAAGTTAAAACCTTTGAAGTCGTAGATTCTCAGAGAAACGTATTTGATGTTTCTGGAATTAAATCTCACTCTGCAGATTTTGCTCGTGTTTTTTTTTTTTTTTTACCAACTTTAAACTTTCTTCTTCATCTGCGACACTTCCGCATCTGCGTCCTTTTCTTCAACAAAGAAACAGTAAAACAATAAAATAATGAATCAAAACTAAAAAGAATAAAGACAGAAGCGTTTTCTGTTTTTATGAATGAACTGTTTTTGCTGATCACGTGGTTTCAGACTTTACTGCTCTGAAGTTTAAAGATGGTTTTTAAATGTTTTTCTTTATTTCTTTGGTTTTACGTGTTTTCCCGCTGCGGCTTCAGGAAGGGCATCCGGAGTACAGCGTGTTCTTATGATGTAATGTTGCTGGAAAAAGTATCATATTTGTTTTCAAGACATCTTTGTGATATTTTTCCGTTCCATTTTGTTCTTACAGTTTTCATGATTCCATAACTTATATTTAATCCATATGACACTTTAATCAATTCTGTGTGTACGGTGCATTAAAAACAGTTGTGTGTGTATGTATGGTGCATTAAAAACAGTTGTGTGTGTATGTATGGTGCATTAAAAACAGTTGTGTATGTATGGTACATTAAAAAAAGTTGTGTGTGTATGTATGGTGCATTAAAAACAGTTGTGTGTGTATGTACGGTGCATTAAAAACAGTTGTGTGTGTATGTAGGGTGCATTAAAAACAGTTGTGTGTGTATGTATGGTGCATTAAAAACAGTTGTGTATGTATGGTACATTAAAAAAAGTTGTGTGTGTATGTATGGTGCATTAAAAACAGTTGTGTGTGTATGTACGGTGCATTAAAAACAGTTGTGTGTGTATGTAGGGTGCATTAAAAACAGTTGTGTGTGTATGTATGGTGCATTAAAAACAGTTGTGTATGTATGGTACATTAAAAAAAGTTGTGTGTGTATGTATGGTGCATTAAAAAAAGTTGTGTGTGTATGTATGGTGCATTAAAAACAGTTGTGTGTGTATGTACGGTGCATTAAAAACAGTTGTGTGTGTATGTATGGTGCATTAAAAACAGTTGTGTATGTATGTACGGTGCATTAAAAACAGTTGTATGTACGGTGCATTAAAAACAGTTGTGTGTGTATGTATGGTGCATTAAAAACAGTTGTGTGTGTATGTACGGTGCATTAAAAACAGTTGTGTGTGTATGTATGGTGCATTAAAAACAGTTGTGTGTGTGTATGTAAGGTCATTAAAAACAGTTGTGTGTGTGTATGTATGGTGCATTAAAAACAGTTATGTATGTATGGTACATTAAAAAAAGTTGTGTGTGTATGTAGGGTGCATTGAAAACAGTTGTGTGTGTATGTACGGTGCATTAAAAACAGTTGTGTGTGTATGTACGGTGCATTAAAAACAGTTGTGTGTGTATGTATGGTGCATTAAAAACAGTTGTGTGTGTATGTAGGGTGCATTAAAAACAGTTGTGTGTGTATGTAGGGTGCATTAAAAACAGTTGTGTGTGTATGTATGGTGCATTAAAAACAGTTGTGTGTGTATGTACGGTGCATTAAAAAAAGTGCATTAAAAACAGTTGTGTGTGTATGGTGCATTAAAACAGTTGTGTGTGTATGTACGGTGCATTAAAACAGTTGTGTGTGTATGTACGGTGCATTAAAAATAGTTGTGTGTGTATGTACGGTGCATTAAAAACAGTTGTGTGTGTATGTACGGTGCATTAAAAACAGTTGTGTGTGTATGTAGGTGCATTAAAAACAGTTGTGTGTGTATGTATGGTGCATTAAAAACAGTTGTGTGTGTATGTATGGTGCATTAAAAACAATTGTGTGTGTATGTACGGTGCATTAAAAACAGTTGCGTGTGTATGTAGGTGCATTAAAAACAGTTGTGTGTGTATGTATGGTGCATTAAAAACAGTTGTGTGTGTGTGTAGGTGCATTAAAAACAGTGCATTAAAAAGGAGAAGGAGAGTTTAAATTAGATTCAGATTCAGATTCATTTTATTGCCATTTGCAGTAAAAACACCACACTGGAATAGCAAAAGTTTCCGCTGTGTACAGACAAGGGACGACTTCCTGAAAACAGCCCAAAGTGAACAGACTGTTTATGACACAGAGAAAGACTTTGAACAAACAAAACAAGAATTATGACAATGTTCTTTAAACACAACAGCATTACGTAATCACGTCATCACGGAGACGTTTCAGGCCAACGTGAACCCGTGTGTGAAGCGCAGGAGGACGCGCGTCTCCGGTTTCCACAAAGAAGTTAATGCGCCGTGAGAGGGTCCTCCTTCTCCTCCTCCTTTTCCTCCTCCTTCTCCTTCTCCTCCTGTTCTTTCTCCTCCTCCTTCTCCTTCTCCTGCTCCTCCTTCTCCTCCTCCTTTTCCTCCTCCTTCTCCTTCTCCTCCTGTTCTTTCTCCTCCTCCTTCTCCTTCTCCTGCTCCTCCTTCTCCTCCTCTCCCTGCTTTCCTCCCTTCTCCCCCCCCCCTCCCCCCCTGCTCCTGCTCCTGCTCCGTGTAGATCACTTTTACGCGCGGTCTCGACAGTGGCATAACCAGCTCTGAGGAAAAGCCGCGGATCTGAAGTAGTTTATTTATTCGTCAGACATTTTCTTTGAAACAGTAAAATCACGTGTTTCTGGTTCAACGCGCTGACGTCACTATTCATTTAACAAATGTTTAATTTATTTAACAAAATGAACAATAGAAACGAGTTAAAACAAACAGATTATACAACAATCAGACTCACAGACAGAGGTGTATAAATACTTCTACATGACTTTAAGATTAATAAAGTATTAACAAAGTATGAAGTATTAATCTAAAGTAAAGTTCAGTCCGAGCCGCAGCAGAGTCTGAGGAGTTTAGGTCCGTGAGAACAGAAAGACTCAGTTCTGTTCAGAGCCAAACACATTTCTTTCTTCTTTAAATCTGCTGCAACAAAACACGAGGAATACAATCATTATATAATATAATACAATAATAATAATATAATTATTATTATTATTATTTTTAACTTGCACTGTACATTTCCACAAAACCTCAATGATTATAATACAACAAACAAAAACACATCAAAAGATTAAAATAAAAACGTTTTGACACATTTTAAAAATTAACAAAACACGTGGTCTGTGTTTATGGGATTTATTTATATATTTATTTATAAATGAATTATTTTTATCATGTATTTCTACACGTCTTTAAATAAATTCAGTTAAATATAATACATAGATTCATGTTTTATTTCATTATTCTGCTCATTTTTGATGGAAATGTTTAAAAATAAAAAATAACTGTGCATTTCCATGGTTTGTTTGACTCGGTTCAGTCCGAGTTTGTTTTGGAGCCTGAGGCCTCGCGCGCACGGACAAACACGAAGCACGCGCTCGCGTCAGATTAAGATTAAGTTTAGGATTAAAACACTCTTTACTGGTCCCTCAGAGAAATGTCAGTGTTGCATCAGCAGAAAGTAACGGAGCAATAACTCTGTAGTGAAATATCATTACTCTGATCAAAGAAACTCTGTGTTTCTGCAGTCGGAGAATCACAGCCGTGTTTTTACATCTGTGTCGATCCAAACATTTTATTGGATCACGTCGATATATTTCCCCATGACAAATATTATTATTATTATTATTGTTATAATAATAATAATAATAATAATAATAACAATAATTATGATTTATTATTATTATTATTATTATTATTATTATTGTTGTTGTTATCATTATTATTGTTCTTGTTGTTTTCATTATTATTATTATTATTGTTATTATTTTTATTGATTTCATTATTGTTTTCATTATTATTATTGTTATTATTATTATTATTATTATTATTATTATTATTATTCCTGCAGCTCTTTTTACGTCACATAAAGTCTTTTCACATGAGTGTAAATGTGTTCTCTCTGCACTGACATGTTTTCACCACTCACTACAAGAATAGACTCTAAACAAGACGTTCTGCAAAAGACCGGAACAAAACTCACTGGAATGAGTTAAAATGTCATAAAGTTTGGTCCGGATCAGTTCAGATCAGTTTGTGTGAACATGGACTTTATGAATCAGTGAAAGTGGATGTTAGAGCAGTATGAAGAGTTTGATTGAGACTCATTTAATTTTTAGACTTTACATTCATTCTGTGATTATCCACCGTTTAGATTTTTACTGTAGTGGAAAAGGAAAAGAATCAGAAAAGAAAGTTTAAAAAAAATTTGGACAAAAAGGAAAGCTCCAGAGGAAACAAAGTGTGTCCAAGATTTATTATTATCCTCAGTTCAACCATAAAGGAGTCATTAACAGATGGTCCTGGGTCTACAGCCTCAGTCCTGGGTCTACAGCCTCAGTCCTGGATCTACAGCCTCAGTCCTGGGTCTACAGCCTCAGTCCTGCAGTTTAACCCTGAGCTGCTGTTATTACAGTTGCACTGTCTGTGTACACACGCCTGAGGCACAAACACACACACACACACACACACACACACACACACACACACACACACACACACACACACACACACACACACACACACACACACACACACACACACACACACACACACACACACACACACACAGACACACACACACACACACACCTGGTTGCTGCATTATTGAGCAGATCAGCTGACAAACACGATTGCTGGTCACGCAACAGAACCTCCAAGAGCCACAGCGAGACCGGAGAGAGTCCTGCGCTCTGATTGGCCGAGGCCCGGGGCCCAGGAGCCCTGTGATTGGTGGTGGTCTCAGGGTCAGCGGGTGGAAAGCCCTCCTTGGTCTTAGCAGTTTCTGGTGTTTATCCCGATGACCTCTGAACCCTGGGATTGCTATATGTCCCTGATTGAACTTATACTTGTGTCCCACTCACAGCAGGAGGGTCCCTGGTGCTTGGCTCAGATCCTGGTATGACTCTGGGATTTCCCCAGAGCGACAAGTTTATCTTAGAGAGGATTCATGGTTTTACACTGGTCCAGACCAGAGCAGAGAGGATTCATGGTTTTACACTGGTCCAGACCAGAGCAGAGAGGATTCATGGTTTTACACTGGTCCAGACCAGAGCGGAGAGGATTCATGGTTTTACACTGGTCCAGACCAGAGCGGAGAGGATTCATGGTTTTACACTGGTCCACACTGGTACACTGGTTATTTTAATATTATTAATAATAATAATAATAATAAACTATTACTAGCATTATTTACTATTTTTAAAATGATGGTGGTGGTCCTCTGGGTTCTAGACCCTGGTGGTGGTCCCCTGAGGCCTAGACCCTGGTGGCGGTCCCCTGAGGCCTAGACCCTGGTGGTGGTCCCCTGAGGCCTAGACCCTGGTGGTGGTCCCCTGAGGCCTAGACCCTGGTGGTGGTCCTCTGGGTTCTAGACCCTGGTGGTGGTCCCCTGAGGCCTAGACCCTGGTGGCGGTCCCTTGAGGCCTAGACCCTGGTGGTGGTCCCCTGAGGCCTCGACCCTGGTGGTGGTCCTCTGAGGTCTAGACCCTGGTGGTGGTCCCCTGAGGCCTAGACCCTGGTGGCGGTCCCCTGAGGCCTAGACCTTGGTGGTGGTCCCCTGAGGCCTCGACCCTGGTGGTGGTCCCCTGAGGCCTAGACCCTGGTGGTGGTCCCCTGAGGCCTAGACCCTGGTGGTGGTCCTCTGAGGTCTAGACCCTGGTGGTGGTCCTCTGAGGTCTAGACCCTGGTGGTGGTCCCCTGAGGCCTAGACCCTGGTAGACCCAGCACCTTTAGATCCAGAGCACCTATAGACCCTGGCAGAGCCCCATGAGACCCTGGCAGAGCTGGGGTCTCATGCTTCCTGAGGCTTCCTGAGGCTGAGACCCTATCGGTGGTCCCCAGCTTCACCCAGACTCATGCAGACCCCATCCCCTGGTCCCCGGCCAGACCAGGTGGAACCGCCCTGATGTGAGTAACATAGACTATAGAATATTCCACTGAACTGAAGGTGACAAAAGCAGGACAGCAGCACTCAGAAAGACCTGCATCTTTTATATAGAGAGGGCAGAACCAGGTCTGAGGTCTGAGGCTGAGACCGAGGTCTGAGGTCTGAGGCTGAGACCGAGGTCTGAGGTCTGAGGCTGAGGTCTGAGGCCGAGATCTCAGGCTGGACCGAGGTCTAAGGCTGGGACCGAGGTCTGAGGCTGAGGCTGGGACCGAGGTCTGAGGCTGGGACCGAGGTCTGAGGCTGGGACCGAGGTCTAAGGCTGAGGCTGGACCGAGGTCTAAGGCTGGGACCGAGGTTTGAGGCTGGGACCGAGGTCTGAGGCTGGGACCGAGGTCTGAGGCTGGGACCGAGGTCTGAGGCTGAGGCTGGGACCGAGGTCTGAGGCTGGGACCGAGGTCTGAGGCTGAGGCTGGACCGAGGTCTAAGGCTGGGACCGAGGTCTGAGGCTGGGACCAGGGGCTGCTCTGCTCTGCTCTACCTGGTTGAGTTTTTATTATATTTTCTTATAATAAAAAGCCCCCAGAGCAGAGCCACAGCTGCAGGTAGAAGCTCCAGTCAAACCTGTAAAGCTAAGCAGGGCAGGGCCTGGTTTGTACTGTGATGGGAGACCTTTGGGAACAGCAGGTGCCACAGTGGAGCGGCTGCGACTGTAAAGCAAATCACTTCCTCCACATCAGAATAAGTCTGGTGTGTGTGTGGATGGTTGGTGGTGGTGGGAGGGGCCGATGGCACAGACTGGTTGCCTCGCTCCTGTCAGTGTGCCCCAGGGCAGCTGTGGCTACAGTTTTTCACCATAAAACCGATGCATTTTATATAATTGAGCCACACTATTCTAGAAAAACACACAATTCTCTTTCGACCCGCACACATCATGGCTCGGTTTAGTGACGACATACAGTATTAAAACATTCTTTATTTGAACTTTTTTTATTTATTTGTGGAAATCCAAGAACAACAGGAGATGAGATGAAAGGCCAGAGTCGGGCTAAGCTCCTTTCAGGAAGTTCAAATCTTTGCGGACAAAAGTGATGAGCGAGTTTCCCTTTATCTCAGCCCAGACACATCAGACTGGTTTCTACAGGGTCAGGTCTGATCCAGGACCCGGTCTCTCTCTCCCTCTCTGGGACTCAGGGTCTGGCCTCTCTCTCTCTCTGGGACTCAGGGCCTGGTCTCTCTCTCTGGGACTTAGGGCCTGTTCTCTCTCTCTCTCTGGGACTCAGGGCCTGGTCTCTCTCTCTCTCTGGGACTCAGGGCCTGGTCTCTCTCTCTCTCTGGGACTCAGGACCCGGTCTCTCTCTCTCTCTCTGGGACTCAAGGCCTGGTCTCTCTCTCTGGGACTTAGGGCCTGTTCTCTCTCTCTCTCTGGGACTCAGGACACGGTCTCTCTCTCTCTCTGGGACTCAGGACACGGTCTCTCTCTCTCTGGGACTCAGGACACGGTCTCTCTCTCTCTCTGGGACTCAGGACACGGTCTCTCTCTCTCTCTGGGACTCAGGACACGGTCTCTCTCTCTCTGGGACTCAGGACACGGTCTCTCTCTCTCTGGGACTCAGAACACGGTCTCTCTCTCTCTGGGACTCAGAACACAGTCTCTCTCTCTCTGGGACTAAGGGCCTGGTCTCTCTCTCTCTCTGGGACTCAGGACACGGTCTCTCTCTCTCTCTGGGACTCAGGACACTGTCTCTCTCTCTCTCTGGGACTCAGAACAC